GTTTTCATGGTTTCTTCTTCATCCCTCTCCACTGATCGCTTCTACCCTTACTTCCAGTAAGCTACCTTTCATCGTAGAACCCACCTTCAAGCACTCGATTGGCTTTTTGTACTGTCTCATTAAATCAGGTTGAAATATTGTGTAGTAGGAACTTCGGGTAAATTTGGACTACAGCCGCCAATCCTCTAGAAAGAGGTCTCCATGCTAACATACTGAGCTATGTTAGTTAGGCCATTCCCTGTCGAATTTGACCAACTCTAACCTAATCTTCTCAAATGTCTCTTGCACATCTTATAATGAACAGAAAGCGTTCCATTCTTCACTTTTTCAGTTTATAACTACTGAAATATAAGCATCATGCACACTGGCATTATTTTGTAATACATTCGCCAGTACAGTTTTGTTTGCAGTACATATGTCATCATCGAGGTGTACCTTTATGCGGCTACCCACCGCCGGCTATACCGATATCTATGACGAAATCGTTTCGGATGTAAGCGATGCTGAAGAATGTGAAAGACTTTGCGTCGTTCAGGCCAACGTGGGCGATCCGTGCAGGTATGTGATGTGTCTTAGCTAAGTCTTCGTGTTAATGGGTTGATGGAGTAACAACATGGAGAGGTAGTACTACCTGTAGACTGTCTGTGAAGGAAAAAGGAAAAGAAATCGCAAAAACAACAAAAAAAAAGATCATTTTTGGGTAGATTCCATCCTATATAGATTACCGGGACGATTCTATGAGACTGACAGGCTAAAAAGACAATGGGCATCATGCGAGAGAACAAAATCGGAAACGAGAGAGTATCACGGACGAAGAGACGCAGACAGCGCGAGAAGTGGGCGGAGAAGGCCGCATGGAGGTTCATTAGGCTAACCGTGGAAGGAATGAGGCTACTATCCAACAAAAAAGGTGGTAGATGTCTCAGGCGTCCTGGCCACGAGTTTTAAAGTGGAGACGCTGGCGCTTTTACTGGGAACAGCGACATCGCTCACGGGAGGGATTGGTGCAATGAAGTCAACGCAGAACGGACATTCAGGGGAAATCGCTGATAGTGAAGCAACAAAAGCAAAAAAAATCACAATCCAAAAAAAATCAGCAAACAAGTCGAAATTGCGGTATCGCAGTGAGCAGAGCCTTTTTGTCTAGCTAGCTACGGCGTTACGGTCTCCATGTCTAGGTTACTGTATGGTAAAGGGAACAAAAGCAAAAAAGAAGCTGTTTCCGTTGTCGATAATAAAATCATTCAGTAAAATATATGACATATTAAGGTCCTATACACACGACAAATGGACACAGTTGTGCTATCTCAGTCATTACGATGGACGGGGATCAGGGACGAAGTCCATTGAGCACTCGGAACTCGAATCTTACGTATGGATCGTTGGACGACTGCATAGAATGTAAGCTTAAAATTAGTGATAAGTCTCAAGCAACGATATCTATGCAGTACTTTCCAAGGATTACAGAACTAGACTAACTAAGGAATATAAACACTTCTGCGATCTAGCAAGTAGAAGGACTAAGCAGAAGGAGGCAAAATGAAGTCAGTCCTGCGTAGTCTGTCCAATGACCTGATCAGAGAGGGTGAAAGCGACCGTAATTCTAATCAGAAAAAATGGACGGGCAATTTGTCAGCGCTTCAAATTGGTACCTAAGGACTGGAATTTCTGTCTGCCAAAGGTTCCTATTGAATCATTAATAGCACTCGAACATCTCGAATCTCAAAGAAATATCATCACCCCGAGGGCCTAAACTTTCTGTTTGAGCAGTTGTACTCCCATTAGATGTAGTCGTCGTGATGTGTCTGAAACAGGTGCAAAACCAGGCGAAAAAGGTGTTGGGCGGAAGGAGGGGAGGGAGGGGGGGGGGAGGGGGGGGGGGGGGAGGTGGGGGGAGGCGAGAGGTGTGCCTTCAGGAATACAGAAGAAGCGCAGGGTACGCATTGACGTCAAAAATTGTGCGAGAATCGATAAGACCAGAACTGGAAATATTTGGTATGTCCCCGAAGTTCCCCACTCTCCCAGGCGTAGTTCTAGGACATGAAATGGTTTTCAAAAATCGAGCACCGTCCAACGCGGCACTAGTTTTCCAATACCTGATCTTGTGATCGTAGAATAGAGTTTTTGGGGGAAAAAATTTACCCACACCTAATTCGAGTTTCTTCTCGTGAGGGTCATCAAGATGCTCGAACAATTTTGCCTCAATTGTTTGAATTTGAGGGTCAAAAATCCGCGATGGTCGTGAAAAAACACACCGCAGTTCGGGCTGAGCTCAGCACCTGATATGTTTTTAAGACTTGACACGAAGGCTGGGCCTAAAAAACAGAGCCAAAAATTAGCAGTTGGCAAATTTTAGGCAGGAGCCAAGGAAGATGTGTCGCTTTCCCATATTTTTTATTATTTTTTCTGCGATCTTTACAACGTAACACATTTTATTGCTTCATTGGTCCGGAAATTTCATGTACAGTGAGTGGATCGATTTTTGATCTTTTGAACCCTTCATTCAGTTCATTTTCAGTCTCAGTAACAAGAAGGCGGGGAGAATCTTAGAATTTGGCTCAATCTTTAGTTCAGAAGTCAGCAGAAAAATTTATATCTTACGTTCAAAGCTACAACTTCATAATTTCGGACCCACGAACAAGTAAAGGTTACCCTTTAGGGGCTTATATGGTCTGCAGTCGAACCTCGGAAAGATTCTACCCCGGACCAGCCGAGACTTTTATCCTCTGACCCGTAACTCAGATCTTTACTTCACGAATCAGCAGAAAACTGGACATATTACGTTCAGTTTAGGAAGACCTCCTTTATCGCTTAGTTTTTACCCGCTTACAACACCATAAGTAAATCATGTTTTATCACCACATAATTATAAATAACTAACCACTACCAAATGGTCTATAAAATGATGCAAAAAATAAAAATTACCATGATTTTTTCAGTCGCGTTGAAGTGCCGTAACGATGCTTTGGAAATTCATGGATCATCAATGCGATTGTTCAGGTACGCCAAGAAGTGACAACCGTGCATAAAACGGCCAAGATAGAGAGCAGATGCAGTCGCCACGCGTCGCGGCTGCACCACAATGCACCGCAGTTCTTTGTCATGTCCGCGCGCGTCAATTTTTTGCTTTTCCGGACATGCCTCTTTCACTGCAAGGAGATTAAGGCGTAGTAGAATTTTTGCGTCTGATTGTGTGTGTTGTGTGTTTTTGCGGAGATGTGCCTCAAAACAGCAATTTTGTTACAGTGGCTCATTGAAGACGAAACGGTTGAAGGAGGTAGCTTGCGAGAGGACGGTCACGTCGTCGTACCATTTCAGCGTATTCATGCCGTATGAAGAATGCGGAATTGAGAAAAAGGTCCTTAAATCTCAGATTCATCTTGCATTTTCAAAGAACTCTTGTTGTCACTGACTAGAAGTGATTTCCAGACTGTGCCATATCCCTCCTACAGTGGTCTAATTCACGTCAAAGAAGGTAGTACCACCCTGGTGACGATCCGTGATAAACTTCTACAGGTATGGCTGTGAACAATTTTCGTGGTGGGACCACTACTATTACGGTAATATTAAAGGTTCATTGTCGTATTCACCCGCAAGTAGATGTCAATGACCACACAATTTCGGTCCACATGGAGGTGCACGATGCGAATCGAACAGATGCTGTACTGTAAGTTCGGCTAGATTATCTTTATGGCCCCGGTTGCCGTCTTAGTTATGGGTATCTAACCATGGTTACCGCACAAGGTAGCTAATTTCATGCGGCCTCTTGCTCAGCTTTCAAGGTAAACGTTAGGAGAAGGTGGCACGATCAACTCGAGTGGTGAAGAAAAGAGAACTATGTCCGTTACTGAGGGACCCTGGGCCTCTAGGAGAATTTCTACGCGGCGCCATCGAAATGAAGGGTGCGCCTGCGGCGAAGTACTAACGCTTCACCCCCTTCTCTCCCTTTGAACGCATTCTTTTCTGCCCTCCCCGATGACCGCTGGTCCCTAGTGGCGTCGGACTTCGGCCCTTCTAGCAGAGAGACGCGGCAGAGCATTCACTTTAAAGGCAGCGGTTACGCTAGGTTTAAATGGGGTTTAGAGGGGACGAGGGGGTCCTCAATGGTACGTCAGTGGCGAAAGAAGCAGCGAAATCCGTTCAGGAAACGAGAAATGGGACCCCCTTTTGTAGCCGTTGATTGCGGCTCTCAGATGGACTGCGGCGAAGACCGCGCACGCGTGGACGAGATTACGCAACGCGTGCTGGCACAGCAAACAGCAGGCATGGCGCCCTAACCGCGCTGCGGCTGGCAACGCAGCTCGCCCAAGCCACCGGTGAATCAGTGGGCGTCACGTCACTGGGGGCGGGGCGTCGCGCGGGTCCTGCTCAGCAACCACAGCACCTTTCGCCGTGGGCCACACATCGCTTCCTTGGCAGCCAAGTAATTGCTCCGTGTGGCGCAGGTTCTCCCCCGATGCGAAAATTCCTTATCGTAATCGCTTCCTTTAACGAAGTTGCGAAATCGTATATCGACTGAAGAGTGCGTTCATGAACCACTCGAGCCGCTGTGTGTATGTACTTCGGTGGCACAGTTGGTAAGCGGATGGAGTGGCGAACTCGAGATGGAGTT